CTGGAAAAAAACATAGAGGTTCATCAGTATCCAAGGTCACGGCGCTGATTCCTTATGGATTTTGTAAGTTTAAAAACTAAAAATTTTAAAGAAACAATACATAGTTCCACACCCAGTAAATGTTAACGTAGCACTGCAGAAAGAGGGACCTGGGAAACAATTAGTTTAATGTGTTCAATCTACAGATGGGTAAACTGAGGCCAACCTGAGGCATGCCAAACTGAAATGGCTTTCTAGCTACTTGAACAGTAGTGGCAGAATCGGGCACCGCCTCTGGCTGTTCGCCTTTACTCTACTACGGTACCTTTCTAAACACAGGCGACTGCCCAGCATAATTCTGTATTCATCTTCATTTCGCGCTTCTAGAAAATGCAGATGTCTCTAAAATAGTCAAATTCATAGAATCAAAGAGTGGAATGGTGGTTGCCAGGGGCTGGGGGAAGGTGGAAATGAGGAATTACTCATCATCAGTTAAGCAAGATGAAGAAGCTGTAGAGATTTATCTGCTGGACAACGCTGTGCCTGTAGTCAACAATGATACACTGTACACCTGAACATGTGTTAAGAGGGTAGATCTCATGTTCAGTGACCTTGCCACAATGAAATGAAATAAAGTAAAAATTCAGATCATGTCAGAAAACAGCTGGAGAGAAACAAAAGAGTTTCTTTTAAGAGATGACTTGAAACTAAAAATTATGTTAAAGGTATGATAAAGTTTCTTTCTCTTCATTAGGTGAAACCAGGCAACCTTTAGCTTAACTATAAAAGAAACTGTTTTTTTTTTTTTTTTAATTTATAAACTTGCAAAAAAATTATAGTATTGATGTGGCTGCGTATACAAAGAGAGATTATAAAAGTGGGCGCTGTCTACTAAAGAAAAGAGTGATGCTTAAAGTTGAGGAGAAAAGTAGTAAATCAGGCCAGAAATGGAGAGATGGATAAACATGTGATGAAGAAAGGTTGGAAATGCGCGGGTCCACTTATACACAAATTTTTTTCAATAAAAACTGTAAATGTATTTTCTCTTCCTTATTACTCTCTTAATGATATTTTCTTTTCTCTAACTTCATTACAGGGATACAGTATATATAATACATGTAACATACAAAATGTGTGTTAATCCAATGTTTATGTAAGGCTTCTGGTCAACAGTAGGCTATTAGTAGTTAAGCGTTTTTGGGAATCAAAAGTCATATGCAGATTTTGACTGCCCAGGGGTCAGTGTCCCAACCCCTGTGTTGTTTAAAGGTCAACTGTATTAGTAAAATATCAATGGTAAAAGCAGGTGATTGGTATATGAGTGTTCACTGTGAAACTGCTCACTGTGAAATTATTCCAAGTTTGCCTTATGTATGAAAATTTTCACAATACATGTTAGAAAGAAATCAACCAGCAAGCGATTACCTAAGAACCTCAGTGCCTTCATTAAAATAACCCTGGGTAAAAGGAACTAACAGAGGAAAGAAAGGAGATGAAGACTTCTAAATTTTGAACGAAAAACATTGTAAGGAAGCAGTCTATGGGAAAAGACAGAAATTCAAAGGCAAAATTTAACATTTTTACCACAGCAAAACAAAGTAAAAAAAAAAAATGAGATTGATGACTAAGGAGTTGGGCATCTTTTCATATGTTTTTGGCTATTTGGATATCTGCTTTTATGTACTTTCCATATGTAGAGACTCCACACACTGAAAAAAATGACTAGAATTAAATATTAAAATTATAATACCAAATTTTGGCCAGTATGTTGAGCAGCTGAGACTCTCATACATTGCTGGAGGGAATGTAAACTTCTTTGGAATGTTTGGCACTATGTACTAAAGCTATAATATCCTAATCACCAATCCTTCATAAAAGCTCAATAGAAATATGTACATATGTGGTCAAAAAACATGTATAGAATGTTTACAGCAGCATTTTTCTTAAAAGCCCCAAAATGGAAAACAACACATCAAAAGTAGAATGGAAAAAATTAATTTGAGTATATTAATACAACAGAATTCTATATTGCAACAATATGAACAAAATACTGCTACATGAGATAACACCAATGAATCTCACAAACAATGCTGAGTAAAAAAAATAGCTACCACAGGGAATATATACATACATATGTGTGTGTGTGTGTGTGCATATATATACATATATATATACACATATATATGTATATACCTATATACACACACACATATATATATACATATATATATATATATGTACACACACACACACACACACATAAATATAGCTCTACTTATATAATAAGTTAAAAATCAGGCAAAATTAATTTGTGGTGTCACAGATCAGGAGAGTGGTCTCACAGAGGAGGACGGGGCAAAGACTGGTGGGGCCTCAAAGGGGCTCTGTCTATGGTACTGCTGTTCTATTTCTTTCCCTTTTTAAAAAAAAAAATTTATTGGGGAATAGTGTGTTCCTCCAGGACTCATTAGCTCCAGGTCAAGTCGTTGTCTTCAATCTAGTTGTCTTCAATCAAGGAGGGCGCAGCTCCTTGGCGCATGTGGGAATTGAACTGGCAACCCCGGTGCCATGAGCCTGTGCTCTAACCACCTGAGCTAACTGGCCACCCCTGCTATTCTATTTCTTAACTTGGATGGTTGGTTATATGAGTGGTTCACTTTGTGGTAATTCATTGAGCTTTACATTTCTGTGTTTTATACATTTTTTTAGACATAATTTACTTTGAAAGCTTTTTAACGAAATTTTAAATAAACAATGAAATTTCTAAAATTTCTGTAAAAAAATAATAGTCATAAAAAGATGATTTAAAAATAACTTACAAAGTGGTATCAAATTATTTCCTCTGTATAATCCATAAACATTTTGACAAGGAAAGCCTTTAGTTTAAAAAATTTAATAAAAGCATAATATTTTTTAAACTGATAGTCATATAAAAAAGTGTTCTTTTATTTTTATGTCACATGTATAATACTAAAAATACTAAATTTAACCACCAGGATGATTTTAAGGTAACAATTTCATTTTTGATATAAATTAATATCTTTTATTTTGGGGGAGGTTAAATAAGCACTCACTAACTAGATAAAAAAAATGAAATATGCCTGTTTTGTTGTATAAAATGATACTTTCAATTTCATATTTCAAAAGTTCCTTTTTGATATTTAACAAAGCATAAACAATGTGTTACTTTAATAAACTTAGTAAAAATAAGAAATAATTTGTAAACAGCATTAGTGAAAACAATTTAAGACACGAGTCAGTTTCTAGGAAAACAGCAGCTTGAGCAGTTTATCTCCTTTCTCTCCCAAAATAAGTAAAAGAGATTTATTTTCTGGAGAAACTAAACCAGGAAGACTTAGGACTTACAGAGATGTAGACACAATGAAGGTTAGGGGGTTAGGGATCAATCGGGCAGAAAACGGGACTGGGTGAAAGTGAACATACTTGAACGCGATAGCCTCCTGATCCCCCTCCCCGACTCTGTTTCCAGAACGCAGGACCTCACATTGACTCTCCTCCAAACTGCCCACCTCGAAAGGCAAGAAAATCAGAGACTCTTCTCTGGAGAAACAATCTCGCTACCAAAACTGACAAGTGGAAGGGGCTTCTAATAAACACATTGGCTCATCGGGGGTCAGTGACAAGTGGAGATCACCTGCCCAGAGGTTCCAACTAGCTTCTAGGTATTTTATAATGAAGCTAAAAATTCTCAGACATTTGAGGAAGTTTGAGGAAATGGGAACTATACCCAGAGCAGAAGAAACTTAAAAAATACTAGAGATTAATATCCCCTGAGAGAGATGAGAAGGCACTCTATTCAACATATGAATAGGATGTTATAAAATAGCAACAACTGGCAACTCAGAAAGAGCTCTTAGAAATTAAAGCAGGATAGCTGAAGTAAAAATTCAATAAATTTGATGAATTTGATGCAAGTTAAAGGGATTCCCAGAAAACAGATTAAACTGGAAAAAAAAAAAAAAGAAAGCTAAGAGAGAAAAATCAGAGGATCAATTGACAAGGGTCTAATACCCAAAAAACAGAAGTTCAAGAAATGAGGAACAGAAACAATGGATTGCAGGGAATTATAAAAAGAAACATTGAAGAAAATTTCCCATTACTAAAGGACATGAATCTCCTGATGGAAAGGGTCCAGTGAAATGAAATGCCCCCTTCAATGACAAGAAAACACTGACATCAAGACACACCATCATGAAATTTCAGAAGAGTAGACATAGATAAAAAAGAAAAAAAAAGATCCTAAGAGCTTCCAGAGGAGGGAAAAATAGATCACATACAAAGAAATGGGAACCAGAATGTCACTGGACTCAACTGCAAAGCTGCATGCTAGAGACACAGGAGCAATGCCTTCAGATTTTTAAGGAAAATGATTTTCCAATCTAGAATTCTGTAACTAGCCAAACTACCAAGAGTAAGGGTAGACTAAAAACATTTCTGGACATGCAGGGTCTTAAAATTATTGGAGGATGTGCTTTAGCATGAAGAGGGAATAAATCAAGTAAAGAAAATAAGTGGACTTCCAGGAAAAGGGATTCAACATAGAAGGAATTCCCAAGAATAGCTGTGTGCTAGGCTGGCAAAGCAAGCTGTCTAGACTGTAAAGGGAACAAAATGTAAAACTGATAGGGGTGTAACAATTGTGTTTGAGTATTGGATAGCTTACATATAGACTTGAGAGATACTGATCAAAATACATGGAAAAATCAGCATTAGGCCCAAAAAAGCTACACAAAGAGCAAGGCAATCATTAACCTCAGAAAAACACAGAGAAAAAAAAGGTAGTAAAAGTAGTACTCGTTTGGTTCAGCATCAAAAAACTGGACAACAATCAATTTAAGATTTCATCAAAAACTGATGTAACAATATTATGCAGAAAGGAAAAATAGGAGGAACAGAAGTTTTAGGAGTATTCAATTCCTTAGAAAAAGAGTCAATAGGAACATAAGCATATTATTGATAAATATGGAGGCAAACAGCAGAAAAATTAGCTCAAATTGTTG